GCACAGCAGGTAGGGCGTTCGCCTTACACGCGGCCAACATGGCCGACCCGAGTTCGATTCCTCCTCCCCTCTCAGAGAGCTCGGCAAGCTACCGAGAGTATTCAATATGCCAGACACAGTAACAACAAAGTCTCCGATGGAGATGTTACTGGGCCCGCTCGAGCAAATCGACGATCAACGGGAGGGCCTTTCATCACATTATCTGAAAAGCCTGCTTGGAATTGCACGGAGAGTTGATCGTTCAATCTCAAATGTGATATTATGTTTATGAGGCTAGCTTAAGGTACTGTTTTAATCAAGCATAATCTGAATTGTATAGGTTGAAACTTTATAAATCAATCTCTATGCCTTCTACACAGAAATTTAAGTTCACTATGCACTTGAGTGGTCAACATGAACAGCCTACAAGACTCAATTGCAAAGAGGTCAAGTATTGGAGTGAAGCCCTATTTATGGATGAGAACTGACCTGAGTTTACATGTTTATGCATAAACTCTACCATTATTTTTTTATAAGCCATGGTGCACAAAATTAAAAACAAACAAATGAGGCCAGAGAGATAATATAGGAGTCGAGTCACTTGCGTTGCACAAGGCCAACCCAGGTTCAATTCCCATCACCAGAAGGAATGGTTTCTCAACACAGGAGGGAGTAGAGCGAAAAGAGGAGGAGGAGCGAGAAGAAAAAGAAGGAGGTGAAAGAGGAGGAGGAGGAGAAGGAGGAGGAGGAGGAGGAACAGCAGCTCAACATTATATATAAACCACTTGGTATGTGTTCCAAGTCCTCATTTTAAACTCTGACAAAGAGCACATGCATGTCATATTTCAAGATCCCAAGGAAGAAAATGTAAGGACACCCTTTAACATTCATTTGACTTAACTCACCTCAACGTTAAAGGATATATATGCATATATACATATATATCCTTTGTATATACATATATAGTGTATACATACACATATATTATATATAAGGTATATATACATATACATAAAGTGGATAGCAGACTTAAGAGACAGAATGCCTGAGGTAAAATATTGTGGTTAAGAATTTATTTTTATCTTCAAATTAGCATTTAGGGACTAGGGGTATAGCCCAATGGTAAATCAACACTTCGTAAGTAAAAATCCCTGGGTTCAATCACCATACCAATAACAAAAAATTACATATGTGTATATGTGTATATATATATATAGCTTTGAAGTTTTGAATATCCTGTAATATGAAAATAATGACTATACTTAAATCACTGAGTTCTTGGAGAATTAAGAGTTAATGCACATAGAATTTTTTTTATTGTATATACTTTTTTATATTGAATCACTGTGAGATAGTTGCAAGTTTTTCATGATTGGGTTACAATCACACAATGATCAAACACCCATCCCTCCACCAGTGCACATTCCCTACCACCAATATTCCTGGTATAACCCCCATTTCCCACTCTCCCCCTGACTCCATGGCAGATATTATTCCCCATAATCTCTCTCTACTTTTGGGCATTATGGTTTGCAACAGACACCGAGAGGTCATCATGTTTGGTCCTTTATCTACTTTCTGCACACATCTCCCATCCCGAACGATTCCTCCACTCATCATTGTCTAAGTGATCCCTTCTCTATTCCATCTGCCTTCTCCCCTTTGCTCATGAGGCAGGCTTCCAGCTATGGAGCAATTTACCTGTGCCATGTATCTACTATCCTTAGGTGTCAATCTCATGTTATGTTGTTTTATACTCCACAAATGAGTGCAGTCCTTCTGTCTGTCCCTCTCTTTCTGACTCATTTCACTTAGCATGATACTCTCCATGCCTATCCATTTATAAGCAAAGATCATGATTTCATCTCTCCTCAAAGCTGCATAGTATTCCACTGTGTAGATGTACCAAAGTTTCTTTAACCAGTTATCTGTTCTAGGGCACTTGGGTTGTTTCCAGATTTTGGCTATTGTGAACCATGCTGCACTGAACATGTAAGTACAGATGTCATATTAACTGTGCTTTTTTGCATCCTTGATATATATTTTGAGAAGTGGTATCGCGGGGTCATATGGAAGTTCAATTTCTAGTCTTTGAAGGATTGTCAATATTGTTTTCCAGAAAGGCTGGACTAGTGGACATTCCCACCAACAGTGAAAGAGTGTCTCTTTTCCCCCACATCCATGCCAGCACTGGTTGCTTTTGTTCTTTTGAATGTGTGCCAATCTTTGTGGTATGAGATGATATCTCATTATTGTTTTGATTTGCATCTTCCTGATGGCTAGTGATGTGAAGCATTTTTTCATGTGCCTTTTGGCCATTTGTGTTTCTTTTTTGAGGAAACTTCTGTTCATTCCTTCTCCCCATTTTTTGATGGGGTTGGAGGTTTGCAAGTGGAAGCAAACATAAACAAATGGGACGACATCAAACTAAGAAGCTGCTGCATTTAACAAGAAACAGTGACCAAAATACAGAAAGAGCCCACAGAATGGGAAAGAACATTTATGCAATACCCATATGATAAAGGATCAATATCCAGGATATACAAGACACTAGTAGAATTTTACAAGCACACAGAATGTTTTATACAGTGCTCAACACAAGTAACCAATACATATTGGGTTCTGCATGTATAGTAGTAGTGCATCAAAAAATTACATTTTTCACCTTAATAGGAAAAGGTCAACAAGTGAATATTAGAGCTCAGGCTGTGCTATTTACCATATTATATTTGAGAATGCAATTTTTTTTAAATCCATGTTTTCTTTTTTCCTATGCCCAGAGGCATTTTTACATCAGGCCTCAGAAACATGAGAAGCAAAAGTCATGAGAGCAGACATTAACTGCAGGTTAGCAATCATGCATTTGAAACTGGTAGAAGACACTAGACTTAAGAGTATGCTCTCTTTCCTTCTCTACCTCTTCAACCTTTTCATAATTTTTCCATGTGATTGGGATCAAATGGAAATATATAAGTAAATGTTCTCCTGAGTCACCTCTGCAATGCAAGACATCAATAACCTACAGCATTAATGGTATTATTTATAAAGAAATAGACTGAAAAAGACTGTAGAGCCTAGTGTAATTTAGCATACAAACTAATCACCCTAATAAAAATAGATTTTATTAAAATACAGGTTGTGACTTAAGTTAGGAAAGTCCAGCATTCTGCACTCAAGTTTCCTAGTAATCTCAGTGCTGTTACACCAGAATCTGGCAAACAGAGCAAAAAGGGCCCCAGCCAGTCTTGTGTGATTATAATGGAGGAGCAGCATAGGAGTATCAAAGGAAGTTATTAAAAATAAAAATTCTAAAGCAGAAAGAATTTTTCTGGAGTTTGACCTAAGTGATTTTTCTACATCAAGCTATGCGAAGTTCTCTCCTTGAGGATAAAAGTAAAATTCCTTTTAAATACTTTTAAAAATGAAAGCATAATACAACATGTTACCTAAGAAAAACAATTTCTCTCTGTACTTTAAAAAATGATAAGCCCTGCAATTGCACCTAAAACTATGCTTTTTTTTTTATTGAATCACCAGGAGATAGAGCATTACAAAATTTAAAACTATGCTTTTATAATGACAGGAAACCTGCTCTGAAAATACATAGGTAAAGTATTAAAATGGATAGAATCCTCAGCTACTCACACAATAAATCATTTGCCTTTTACTAGGTAGTAAAGATATGACTTTGAAAAGAAATCAGAGTTTTATATTTCCTTGTGTTGAGACTGTAACCAACCATATCATGATTGAGCTAACTACCCGAGTGATATTTACACAGCCTGACTGATGTATAAATATATGTCAACCTTTCAATTTGTAGCTATAGATGATCTGTTTCATATACAGATGTATAAATTACAAATATAATTATGATTTGAAACACAAGATTCTTAAAGGACAACAAATATGAGGGTACATTACATACATAAAATACTTTGATCTGGAACATTTTTCAATTTTCTGAATATGAAGCCAATTGATTATAGGTAGCCTGTGTTTTTCGGAGTTAGTATTGTCTTTAACATCCCTAAGACTGAACTTAGAAATTCATTTATCAATCTAATCCTGAGTATATAGTTCTATGCTGAATTTATTTTTGAAGGAGTTAGAGACAAACAGATTGTAAATCATCACATTTGCTTCAGAATTGGTACTCTGATTCTTGTTGGAACCACATGTTTAAACAGTGGTTTGGTCAGGAGACATCTTTGATGTCACACAAGGGGAAAGGGAGGGGATGGAAGGATGAGAGCTTCTGGTAACTACTGAGTAGAGGTCAGATATGCAGCTAAACCACCCACCATGCATAAAACAAACCCCTACTAAACTATTTCCTAGCCTAAAATGCCAAAGTGTCAAGGCTAAGAAGCTCTGATTTAAATCACAGAGCCTGGGCAAATACAGAATGAAGGTCCCCTGTGCCTGATCATTACATTCCTAGCACAGTGTTAAGCACATTAATAACTATTTGTTGATGATTTAATAAATTACCTCTGTGTAGCTGGGACCTGAGAGGCAGAGATGAAAACTGAGAATGGATTATCATAAATGTAATATCTAAAATTACAAGGCAAAATTGTACGCTAAGTCAGAACCAATAAGGAATTAAAACAACAGAGTTTTATCTCTCTATATTGGAAAAAAAATTTTGTCTTAAGGAATATACACTGGGTGCACCTATTACAGTTAAAGGCATGGGGGTAGTCCTCTTAAGAAGAAAATACACTATTATTATTAATTTGTTTAAATAGTAGCTTTACTACTGCAGTTTTCTCATATTAATGTTTCCTTTATAAAAACTGAAACAATGTGAAATAAATCCTAAGTGTTATTTCACAAGCAGGAAACACAAAATAAAATGTAATTATTTTTCAGGAAAAAAAAAGAAAAAAACAAACCTCTGTGGCCTACAGGCATTTGTACTTCTGAGATTGCTGGGATTTAAAATGTCATGAGAAATTCTGAACTGGCTTACATTTTTGAAACACAGGAACTGACAGTCACAAGGCCAAACCTACCCTTAATAATCGATTCAGCTGCATACAGATCTCGTTTGTAGGTCACCTAAAGGACAGATAAACCTCATTAGACTTAACAGAGCAGGAAGGAATGTGAAAGCAATAAAATTATGCCCCCAAGGAAATTCTTGGTTTTAGAGAAACTATAAACACAAAGTAACTGACAATTTCTAAATTATAACAGTATCAACAAATTCATAGAAAAGCATTCTATTTCTATAAATGGTTGAAGATCCATTTTTAATTATTTGAATAAATTGTGATATTATGTGGCAGTAGTTACTATAATCATATTAATATAACTGAAGTTTTATATCCCAAAATGTGGTAGTGTTGAAATAAAAGTATTAACATGACTATTTGGGAATATTTGTTTTGTTTTGTTTTGCTTATTTTGTAGAATCAGAAATCAAACATACATGAGCATGAGACTCGTAAAAATTGAATTCACCTTTTGAATTGAACATACCTGTATGCACCCAAATTAGGTTCTCCTTATAAGATTTTTATTAGGATGGGGTATATAGTCCAAGTGGTAGATCAAATACCTAGCATGTACAAGGTTCTTAATTTGCACCTCAACACCTCATAGTCCCCCAAATACCACAAGGCCTGAGTACTCAACTGCTGGCCAGAAATTCCTGGGTGTGGCCCTCCAACCCTCTGAGAAGCCCTGGATATGGCATCTATTTTAAAAAAAAACAAATAATAAACTTATTTTACTAATACAAAGATCTTATAGACGAAATTTAGATACATAAAGCAATCATGATCTTTCCTTAAGAACATGAAGTCTCCTTGGAATTGTAACAGATTCCTAATTAATAACCTGGCCTGGTTCTACGAAAGATCTTTTTTTTTAATTTTATTTTTATAAAGTTGTTCACAATATTTGATTACATTTAATATTCGAACACCAATCCCACCACCATTACACCTTCCCACCACCATATTTCCATCCCGAACCTCAAACCCTGCCCTCAAAGCAGAACCAAAATAATTTATTTTGTATTGCTTGTTATGAATAATCCACTAAAAATGAGACAAAAAAGGTTTCTTCGAGGAAAGTGGGTGAAGATTGTTGTATTTCACCCAAGAGCTATTAAGTCACTAATCTCTTCTATAAAAGATTAGTAACATGTTGTTAAAGGTTGAGCCTTGCATGCCTCTGTGTGTGTGTGTGTGTGTGTGTGTGTGTGTGTGTGTGTCTATACATATATTTTCCCCTAAGACTAGTTGTCTTTGGCAGATCTTACCAGACCACATCCTTGAGCTCAAGTGCAGAATGTATCATGTACACTGCATTGCAGAATTGATTTTCCTACAACACTAAACATAAAAGAAGAGTAAATAATATACTACATTAAAAAGTAGTATAAGGTTTTGAGACCTAACATCTAGATGGTTTTGATGTAAATGGCCTAGAAACCTGCTTTAAGAAACACTCGGTAAGGGGCCAGAGAGACAGCCCATTGCTGATCACAGGCTTGTATGTAGTAGTTTTGTCACCACATAATCCCAAGCACTGAGTTACCACCAGGTGTGACCAAAAGAAAATAAATTACCACAAACACATACAATTTGTAGATTTTTGTGTCTATAATGTGTACTTTTTCTTTCAAAGTAAGCCTGCTCACAACTCTACTTATATAGAAATTCTGGCTCAAAGCGAGTCAGTATACTTTTACAAAAATAAATTCCTCATTACAGCTTTATCCTGGCAGGTATATCCTGTTCCAAAAATGTAATAGATTATTTATAAACCAGAATTGGTGCCGAGATAACTTATGAATCAAATGGAAAGTTGCTCAACCCAGCTTGTTAATTAAGAAAATATATTTCACAAGTTTATTACTATTACAAACATATTAAAATGCATGTTAAGTACTATTATTAATTCACCCAACAAATTAAAGTTAAATGAGAAAATGCTGCTTTACTTTTAAAACAAGCATATGCCAAGCAAAATTAGCACTACAGTTAAATACTCCACAATACAATTCTATTATGGGGGTGGCAGAAGAGTGAAGGACAGAAAAGACATTTAAAGGTTAATGTTATGTGTTTTAAAAATTAAAGAACATATTGATCTCATAATTCATTTTTCAATATACTTATCTATCAACTATTATATTCTATGTCCAAATCTAAGTGCTGGGAGCAGAGCAAGACAACTACATTTTATTGGAGAGATATTTTTCTTATAAAAACATTTAAAAATGTGGGTTTTTTCCTCAGAAAATTTAAATTTAACTAGGTATCTGGAATCAAGTTTCATTAATATTTACAATTTCATAATTTAATTAAGGAAATACTTTTCTGTAATAATTGTCTGCTGTGTAAGGTAAACTTAAAACATAAATTAAGGGGGACGCTCCTAATTACCATAATTCATATTTTCTTTCCTCCTGCTTTAATTTAAAACTGTGTTCTAAATTAAATATAAAATTGTAAAAGAAGCATATTTTCTCAAAGATTATTAATTACTGACTTTTAACATTAAAGAAAATCTAGTTTCAAATACTAAAATGCTTTTGCTAATGTACATGCAAAAACTTAATAATTTGGCCTGATTCAGTTTTATGAAAAATACAAATTTTATTTGTTACCAGTCTTTTCCCAATAACTGTAAATAATTAATTGTATAAATAAGAAAGAATCCTAAATTTATTTTGGAGGAAGATGTGATGACTTACAGTCTTTGGACTATGTCCTATACATGAATTAGAACTCTTTTAGATATTAATGAACATTTTTCAGCTATTGAAATATATGGAATATTTTATTATTAAATACAAGCACGCTTTTCACCACTGACTGAATGAAAGTAAACAACAATTTATTTCTATAAACTTGTAATATGCTGTTTAAAAACAGCTTCATTTTTTCATTAAAAATACTTCAAAGCGAACAGTACTGGGAAATGTTGCAATTCTAAATTGATGGATTATTTTTTTCTGTCAAACTTTTACAGTAATATGGGTTGGCCTTTCTTTATTTTTAATTTTGAAAACTGCTTAATAATCAGTTGTGAAGATGATATTCTTCTGTCAACAAGATCTGTAGGTTTCCTTTGCCCTTGCACAATATTTTATTGTGGAAAAGAACTCCACTTTTGAAAAAACTCAAGACTGTAGGAATAGGGGAGAGCATCGAGCCTGTGATCCATTTCTTTCCCACACAGTGCTCTTGAAAGGCTCTCAGGGGCGACCCAATGGACATACTCTATTGACAACTAAGTCTCCTAGCCTTAGCATGCACGTAATCGAATTCAGGTTAATTTTTAGATGTTCTTTTCCATGGTGTTTCTGTGCAATATTTCATCTAAAAAACAGCAAATGAGAGAGAAAGAGGAAGAGAGAGAACAAAAACTTGACTTGAAAAGTCAATAACTTAACTGCCTTCTTGCTTCTTGCTCCAGCTCGTCAAGGTAAATTCCAGCAGAAAGTAGCATACCTCCCTTGAGATGCTCCATACTAAGTAAAACTAAATATGTATACTTATAAAGATAAATAGAAGAAAGCCAAAATTACTTAAATCTTGGGGCCAGAGCAATAGTATGGAATGTCAGGCGCTTGCCTTAAATGGAACCAATCTGGATCCGATTCCCGACATCCCAAATGGTCCCACAAACCCTGCCAAGACTAATTCGTGAATGCAGAGCTGGGAGTGAGTCCTGAGCACTGCCAGGTGTGGCCAAACCCAAAAAGCAAACAAACAAACAAAAAGACTACAAAATAAAATTTAAATCTAAAATATATAAAATGCTTCTTAGATGTAAATGAAGGTATTAGGTAGTACTCTAGTAGATTTCTTGCCTTTTCATTGATTATCTCTACTTATAAAATATTATTTTTCCTCAGACTGTATAACTAGATGAAAAGCCTCTAAAAAGGAACAATTTTACTACATAATATTTTTGAGGTTGAAAAGAAAACAATGAGGCCATTTTGATTTTTTTCTTTTAAACAAAGATGCTTAATACACTTGGATCTAAAAAAGAATGTAATTCCCATCAAAAGGAATCCTCAAAAGTTCAGTCATTCCAATAATGTAGAGATGACTCATACACTTCAGAAACCCCTTCTGAAGAAACATTTTCAGACAATGAAAGAACAGTTGTTAAATTTCTTCAATAGCTGGCTATAAATCTTTTATGCCTTGAGGATGGTTGAAACATTTAGAAACAAGAAGTCTGCTCAATTAGGTCTGTATGTAGTAAGTGACAAAGTTTTAATTATGTTGAGACAAAAATATGGTACAGCTATAAATTAAAGAAACTGAAGTTTCTATGGAGAATGAGATAAAATCTCCTGACGTCACAGTATATTCACTAAGTTCCACCAAGGCATTCAGGAACAACATGAGAATCAATCCCTCTTCTCCAGGTCCTACTCTATGCTCTCGGTGATAAGACATTCCTGGGGGGGGGGGGGGGGGGGCGGGGGTTCTTTCCAAGCATGGGTCCCACATGTAAGCATAGAAATGATTATTGATTTCTCACACTACTGAATATGTGAAAGTTCTACCTTCCAAGGGTACAGAAGGCCTGCAGCTTCACATTTCAGAATCCTGTCTTGCCTTCATATGTAGTGGCCATGAAATCTCTATTGCATCAGATATATCCACTGCCTTGAGATTGACTCCACCAACTGAGTTAAGTGCCAATTTTAGCCTAAGTGTATTAAAAGTTTTTTTTTCCAGATGAACTTTTTAATGTAGCATCCTTGGAACTAGTAGAATTAGAAGACTAGCTTTAAAGTGAAAATTCCATTGTGTTGCTCTAAACAGACACCAAAATACCCTTTATTCATTTTATAAATTCATATCCTTTATAATTTTGTGATAAACCACAAAATTAAATTAGAATCCTAAAGACAACTCATATACTCTCACTGCAAGAGGTCAAATGAGGCTAAATAAATAGACAATAAAATATCAAAAAGAAAATGGAAGATGAAAGGAAAGTAGATGAAGAAAACACGGAATCTGTAACAACTGCATTTATTATCAATCAAAATAAGTTTACCTCAATTAATAAAAGAAGCACGGTACCCAAAAAATACACATAACAACTGGTTTGTAAAAGATATTTTTGCCCAATAAAAGAATAGATGCCTTTTCATGATACCTTTCAGACAGCCATTCAGAGTAGGACTTCTCCTCTGCTCCCACACACAGTTTTAAAGGGTTCAATGAAGTTGATCGCTCTAGGCTTGTAGAGAGTGTTTCACGCTTTGGCAAACATAATAGTTTTCTAGGACCATCATAATACAGCACAAAAGAGGTGGCTTAGAATAACAAAAATGTATTTTCTCATAGTCCTGGAGGCCAGGAGTTTGAACTCCACGTGTTGGCAGAGCCAAGTTTTTTTGAAAACTTTTAGGAGGAATTATTTCAGGCTCTTCCTGTGGTTTCAGAAATCCCTGCTCTCCCTTACTTATAGATTTATCCCTCTAGTTCCACTGTCACTGGTGTGTTTCAATACAGCTCTCCCTTTTTCTGTATCTCAATCTATTTTCATTGATCACATATATTGGATTTAGAACCTACTGCATGCTGGTAGTTACTATCAAGATATATAAAGTAGTGGCAATACTTTACAAGAAAAAACAACCAACTATATAAAAATGGGTTGAAAATATGAACAGAAACTTCCTTAAAGAAGTCATATAAATGGCTAAAACATATGAAAAAATGTACTGCATCACTAATAATCAGGAAAATGAAAATCAAAACAACAATAATATATCATTTCTCACCAAAGACACTGACATTTATCAAAAAAAATAAATCAACAAATACTGACATGGATGTAGGAAAAAATGGAGCTCTCGTTTTCTGCTGGTGGGAAGGTCAACTGATACAGTCTTTGGAAAATAAGATGGACACTTTTTGAAAACTAGGAATTAAGCTTATATAAGACCAGTAGTTCAACTTCTTAAATTGCTACATTCCAATCTATCCCAAGGGTAAAAAATCAATATACAGAAAAGACATTTGCACTCCTTTGTTCATTACAATACTATTCACAATAATCAGAATCTTGAAATAACTTGTGTCCAAGAATAGACGACTGGCTAAAAAATCTATGGTATATACAATGGAATACTACTCGGCTATAAGAAAAGATAACATCAAGCAATTTTCTAAGTGGTTGGATGTGAATAGTACCATAAGTGAAGTTATTCAATAGGAGAGGGAAAGATACAGAATGATCTCTCTCATATTAGGGATATAAAGAAACGTAGCTGCATTTTGTAGTCTCTGAGTCTTGGCCGTTGATGGGATTACACGGCGCCAGGGGGCCAGGTGGTGGGTGTGACCCCTGCCTACTGGAATTTGGAGGATCTGGGTGGAGGATGCTCGACTCCAATTCGAGTAGGCTCGGAGATCTCGGCCCCAGAACCCGCGTGGCTTTGTCCCTCTGCCAGTACCTTCATGTCAGTCAGTCTCCTGCCCCTGCGCCTGGCTGTTCCTCACCAGAGTCCCTTGGAGGGGAGCGGGTTGAGCTTTCCTCCCCACCCCGACCAGGGCTCCGGCAGCCGAAGACCTCCAGGACCAGCCACCACCATGCTGAGACCACTCTCCGCACACATGAAGGTACTGGCAGAGGGACAAAGCCACGCGGGTTCTGGGGCCGAGATCTCCGAGCCTACTCGAATTGGAGTCGAGCATCCGCCACCCAGATCCTCCAAATTCCAGTAGGCGGGGGTCACACCCACCACCTGGCCCCCTGGCGCCGTGTAATCCCATCAATGGCCAAGACTCAGAGACTACAAAATGCAGCTCCCGGAACCGCGCGGCCGCATTTGCGGCCGCGTGACATCTTATCAGAACATCTTTTTATGATATCTCATTATCTCATTCCTACTCTGGACAAACTTGCAGGCTATCGAATATAGCCTGCCCACAGGGCAGAGTCTGGCAAACTCCCCGTGGCGCACCAAATATGCCAAATACCAGTAACAATGATGGGTCTCATTCTCCTAAAGAGCCTTGAATATAATCTCAGGGCTAGGATGAAAGAGACGTTACTGGGGCCTGCTCGAGCCAATCGACGAATAACAGGATGATGAAATGAAAATGAAAAGAAACATAATGGGGAAATAATAAATATTCAACAGAAACAGAAAATGAGAACTGATCTTCAAATACGGTGACACAAGGTTTGAGGGTTAGACTTGAACATACCTTTTCATGGGGACACATTTCAATGTACACAGTGTATAAAAAATGATTCACTAAAGGAACAAAGAGAATCCCTTTGCAAAGTCCAGTCACTTCTAATTGCACCAACAATTGTGACCCATAAAGGGGGCAGGGTGTCAAAGAAGTATCTGAAGAATAATACTAGGTTACTGCAAGAAGACAGTCAAATATGAAGATTTTCAAAAGCTGCTTTCCTTTTATCTGACATCCATGGTAGGCATTACAAGTCCAGGATATACAAAAAGAGCAAATAATCAAAACCCAAAGACAGAACAAAAAGGTCAGAATAGTGTTGACATGTTAGCAGCAATAAAACATCTCCAAGTTTCCACTTATTTTTTTAACCTGGCTCTCAAGTTAAATTCAGCTGATTTTCAAAAGGTGTTCTACATAGATGTGGGATAGGACCTTAATAAAATGGGTTAATTCCAGAGAGATAGTTACAGCAGGTAAGGCACTTTCTTTAAACATAACTAAGTCAAGTTTGATAAGTAGGTAATTACACAAATTCCCACAATTAATATGTATAATGCCACCATAGATAAGGATAAACAAAATAAATACTTTGAAGCGGATTGACAATTCTTATCTGTTAATGAACAATATTGTATAAAATTTCCCCATCAGGCAATGATACAGGCTTGTCAACATTTTAGAATATCAGAATTGACAAATTCAACAAATATCTGAGAATATCTCAGCATTTATCAAGACGATTAATATTGCTGTGAAACATACTAATCAACTCAAGAGATTTTTATGCTTCACAATCTATAAACAGATATGTTTTGTTTTATTTAGAAAATTTCATTTATTGAAGGAGATATTTTTCCATAGCAAATGGAAAACTTGTTAAAAAATTACAAAAGAATTAAGTGATAACACTTGAATTCATAAATTATTTTAAAAGCAAAAATAATAATTTCAAAATTATGAGATGGCCCTACAGTTATATTTCAGAATATACTGATCCATTTTACACATTTTTATGTTTAAAATAAAAGAAAGTCACATACCCAAACACCCACACCTCAGTAAGAAGCAGAATTTTGACAGTGTGACAACCATCCTATTCTCTCCAAAAGAAATAAATTGACCATTAGAAGAACTAGGTCTTGCCACAAGAAGTCAATAACCAGGGATAGAATTGTGGCAGATATTCCTGTGCCAAAGAGATAGCTCAATACACTGAGCACATGCCTTCTGTGTTAGAGGTCAAGCTCGAATCCCTGCCACCCAAGCACAGACACAGGAGCAGACCTTAAACATTGCAAGCACTGCTGGGTGTTGCCCCCCCCAAAAAAACCCCCCCAAAAAAAACAAGCAAAAATATGGAACTGTGCCAGATTTCTTTACTCTCTTAAATTCAGTTAATTTGTAAATACCCCTCCATGGCATAAATGGTAGATAGTGTAGTGTAAGTTCCCTTTCACAGAATAAAGGATATATATAACTAACAGAAAATAATCATATAAGCTAAAAAAGTGTGTTTCTATATATTATTCCAAATAATTTTTTAAAATCAGACAATACTTTGAAGCATACTTTGAAGTATCAGTAAAAGCTAAGTGAGATACTTTTTGTTTGTTTGCTTTTGTTTTTGTTTTGGGGCCATACACAGTGATGCTCAGGGGTTACTCCTGGCTCTGCCCTCAGGAATGACGGTGCTCATATAAGATGGCGGGATCATATAAGATGTCAGAGATCAAACCTGGGTAAGCCACACATAAGGCAAATGCCCTACTGGCCCTGCCACTTAAGAGGTATAAATAATTGCATACACACATACCTTTCTTCCTGAAAATACTTTAGTGTGCAAAACCAGTAATATTTAAACTGTTTTCCCATTTCTAAAGCACCTGAAAAATGTGCATACTTGTAGAAAGTATCTTAGAAATGACATATTAAACCCAGTTTAGATATAAAGTAAAATACCAATTTCTTACCTTCCAAAGATCAGGGGATCCTTCCACAAGTTTGGCTTTAGTCTGACAGTATTTTAGAGCCAACTGCAAACACTCAGTTCCAAATTCCAAGTCATAGTCACTACACTAGGTATAAAAAGAAAAGAGGGAGAAAGAGAAAAATTACTAAATCAAAATTTGATTTGAAGAATAAAAGCTTTTTTCACTCTCAATTACACACAGATAAAGATAGAATTAGAGAACTCGTAAACTCTTTAATACAGTTACTAATTAATTATAGAATAATTTTGTAATCCCTAAAAGCCAAATAAAGTAAAATTAAAATAGAAATGTTATGATCATAAGAATTATAAATTTTTTCAAAAGTTTCAGGTGTCATATAAATAAAATACTTTATTTCTTTTGTTCATAATCTACCTTTAAAAAGTATTTTAGGGGGTAAGATGCCGCCAATAAGTCAACCTGTACCTATGGGGCAAGTGCATCAGCAGCCTGGTGTTTTCTTCAGGCTCTGACACCCCAAAATTGCCGCTATGCCTCTGACCAGACCCCAACAACTTGAGACCAAGTTTACCAAGAAATTAAATGGCCAAAAGTTGGGTATGTGGGAACCATGCCCACAAACCGCCTCAGCTATACAAGTTCATTTATTGGCCCTATTTCAGAGACCCATGATAAAACTTGAAGGAGACCAAAAGTCACTGTTAATCTCAGACCCGCGCATGGCTGAACAAAATGGGGTAAATAGGAGGAACACAGGTTGGCAAGCTGAGCAGCAAGCAGAGCCCTGGCAGTCGCTTGCTTTCACAATCTAAAATCACCTCCATGCCCCAGGCCTGACTCTACCGTCTCAGGACGTAGCTCACCAAGATATAATCTGCTGAAAATTTTGGTATGCAAGTTTTATGACTGAAATATCCAGGCTTTCACAGACTTGGGGGGCTAGCTCCCCACATTTTCCAAAACACATAGAAGCACTGGCAGTCACCCCCCACAAACCAACTCCAGTGCCACCCTGTAAACTCTATTACTTGCCTTGCTTCAGAGCCATAAATAAATAAATCTCAAAGGAGATCAAAAGACAGAGACACAGCAGCGAGTCCCAGAAGGCACCACAGAACCGGAGATACCTCCGGGCCCCATACTGAGCCAATTTCTCCAGGGTACCCCAAATGGAGAAGGTGCAGTCTCCTCACCACTCCAAATGGAATCCCAGTGACCAAGAATTTCCACAAGCAAGGCCCAGGTAGGAGGGTTCCAGGACTAAATCTCCTAGCCGCATGGCGCCAGAGGCGCCGGGCTGTCCCTCCAAGGTTCTCCGCCCACTCATCAGCCTAGCTATCACCCCCACAATGTACTTCTGGGCACCATCTTAGCACACCAAAAACCCTGGTCCAGAGATACCTAATTGAATCCCAAAATGGATTAATGCCCTACAGAAATGTCTCCAGAACCAAACCATTTACAATCTAGGATTTCAGAAGTGCATGGTCACGGCACCCAAGATTTAAAAATGAGCAATGGACAATCAAAGATCTAGCATTTGCTCCTGGCAGTCAGGCTTGAATGGTTGTGGTAAAATTCAAGCAACACATAATGCCCAAAAGTAAAAAGACAGTATTGAGGAAATTGCCTGCCATGAAGGCAGGGTGAGAACTGGGATGGGGGACGAAGGGGATATACTAGGGACACTGCTGGTGGAAAGTGTGCACTGGAGGGATGGGTGTTCGATCATTGTATAGCTGAATTTTGAACGTGAAAGCTTTGTAACTGTGTCTCAATGTGAAAAAAAAAAGTAATGTGGAGTTCATGCCCAATTCAGTCAGATTAATCAATGGCTAAATAATAATAAGAGTACTCCTACATTTTAAAAATATTTTTAAATACTGAAGATGTCTTTCACAATTTCCAAATCAGAATTTGATAAAACAAAAAAGTACATCCATAAGCTCCAAGTTTCCTATATCCTATGTGCATGTCACAATTGTTACCCATTTTAATGTCTAAAGTATTATACATATTTTAAAGAATTGTATTTTAAATATGAGCTTAGAAACAGTTCAGTCTTTCAATGTGAGAACATATGTAAATGGTTTTCAAAGAGGTATTAAAATATAAAGACTTTAAAACATTTTGATGAAACTGTTCAGATGATCAACATAATACAATTCAACTGACTGCCTCACTGGGCACCAATCATACGTTAGCTTTATATTAAGTAGCAGTACATGAAGATAAATGAGACATGCACTAATCCTCAAAGGAGTCAAATCTAGAAGAAGAGGCGGTCTATAACAAATATTTTTTTATTAGTTAAACACCATGAGGTACAGTTAGAGACTTACAATTTTTTGTGCTTGGGTTTCAGTTATACAATGATCTGGGTTTCAGTTATACAATGATCAAGTACCCATCCCTCCACCAGCGCCCATCCTCCACCACCATGGGTCCCAACATCCCTCCCACCCTCCCGTTGCCTCATCCCACCCTGCCTCTGTGGCAGGGCATTCCCTTTTGTTCTCTCTCTCTCTCTCTCTCTCTCTCTCTCTCTCTCTCTCTCTCTCTCTCTCTCTCTCTCTCCTTTTGGGTCCTGTGGTTTGCAAGAGAGGTGTTGAGTGGCAATCATGTTTGGTCTATAGTCTAGTCTATAATCTACTTTCTCTCACCCTGGGAGGATCCTCCCAACACCCTTTATTTGGTGCTCTCTTCTCTATCTGAATTTCCTTTTCCCCTAGCACATGCGGCCGGCCTCCAAGTCATGGAGCAAAATTCCTGGTACTAATCTCGGCCACTCCTGGGTGTTAGTCTCCCATTTTGTTACTTTATGTTCCCCAGATGAATGCAATTTTTCTGTGTCTATCCTGTTCTTTCAACTCATTTCACTTCACATGATACTTTCCATGTAGTACCACTTGTATGTAAATTTCATGACTTCATCTTTTCTAACAGCTACATAGTAATCCATTGTGTAGATGTACCGAAGTTTCTTTAACTAGTCATCTGTTCTTGGGCACTCAGGTTTTTTCCAGATTCTCGCTATTGTAAAGAGTGCTGCAATGAACAGACAACTGCAGATGTCACTTCGTCTATACTTTTTTGCCTCTCTGGGATATATTCCCAGGAGTGATATTGCTGGGTCAAATGGGTGATCAAATTCTAATTTTTTGAGAATCGTCCATACTGTTTTCCAAAAGGGTTGGACCAGCCGGCATTCCCACCAGGAGTGAAGGAGGGTCCCTTTCTCGCTACATCCATTGAAGACAAGGTTGGCAAAACTCTCCAAGCAAGTTAAAACAGAGATAGACAAATGTTTATCTCAAAAAGTTTCTTATCTTAAACTAAGAAGTTTCTGCACCTCAAAAGAAACAGTGACCAAAATACAAAGATAGTCTACAGAATGAGAAAGGATATTAGCCCAATACACATCCGATAAAGGGTTGGTATCATGGTTATACAAAGCACTGGTTGAACTCCACAAGAAGAAAACATTGAACCCCATCAAAAAATGGGGTGATGAAATGAAAAGAAACTTTCTCAAAGAAGGAAATACAAATAGCAAAACGGCACATGAGAAAATGCTCTACATCATTATTCATCAAGGAGATTCATATCAAAAAATCAATGAGCTATCATCTCACACCACAGAGACTTGCCCACATCCAAAAGAACAAAAGCAACTGGTGTTGGCATAAACGTGGCGAGAAAGGGACCCTCCTTTGTTGCTGGTGGGAATGCCGACTAGTTCAGCCCTTTTGGAAAACAGTATGGACGATTCTCAAAAAATTAGAAATTGATCACCCATTTGACCCAGCAATACCACTCCTGGGAATATATCCCACAGAGGCAAAAAAAAGTATAGTCGAAGTGACAGCTACACTTGTTTGTTCATTGCAGCACTCTTTACAATAGCCAGAATTTAGAAAAAACCTGAGTGCTGGAGAACAGATGACTGCTTAAAGAAACTTTGTTACATCTACACAATGGAGTACTATGTAGCTGTTAGAAAAGATGAAGTCATGAGATTTACATACAAGTGGTACTACATGGAAAGTATCATACTAAGCGAAATGAGTCAGAAAGAGAGAGACAGACATAGAAAAACTGCATTCATCTGGGGAACATAAAGTAACAAAATAGGAGATTAACACCCAAGAATACCCGAGATAGGTACCAGGAGGTTTACTCCATGACTTGGAATCCACACACACTAGGGGAAAGGGCAGTTCAAATAGAGAAGGGAGCACCAAATAAAGGGTGTTGGGAGGATCCTCCCAGGGTGGGAGAAGCATGCTGAAAATAGACTACAGACTGAACATGATTGCCACTCGCCTCTTTTGCAAACCACAGCACACAAAAGGAGAGAACAAAAAGGGAATGCCTTGCCACAGAGGCAGTGTGGGTTGGGGGGCATGACGGGGTGGGAGGGATCTTGGAATCATTAGTGTCAGAGAATGAGCTCTAGTGGAGTAATCGGTACTCGATCATTGTATAACTGAAACCCAAGCACAAAAATTTGTAAGTCTACAACTGTACCTCATGGTGTTTAATAAAAACTAAAATAATAAAAAAAGAAAGAGTACTAAAGATAGACCATTTGCTTTGCATGCAATGACACTGGTTGAATTCCAATAACCCTTTATAGTTGCCAGAGCATGACCAGGAGTGATCCATGAGCACAGAGTCAGAAATACGCCCTGGGCAACAATAGTTGTAGTCCCAAAACTACACAAACAAGTATGAGGGCATCAGGCAAAGTTTGTCAGAGGAAATGGTCCCTGATCCCGATTTTATAGACTAGAGGAAGAATTAATTAAAGCAAAATATTGGCGGGGGCGTGGGATGTCAGTGAGATAGTACAGGGGATAGTGTTTGCTTTGCATGCAGTTTACCTCATTTGGGCCCTAGCACCACATATGATTCCCCCAAGCACCACTCTCATCACCACCTGGTGTCCCAAAAAAACAAACAGAAACAAAACCAAAAGATGTCATACAAAACTAAAGAGGTTTCATAGGTCTTGTATATCTGACTTTAGAGTCTGTCCACATAAGACAGTTGGCAGGGAAGATAATAAATATAAGATTTAGCACCTTTTACTTGTGCGGTTCATTGAACTGGAGGTCATA